CCCCCCCGCCCGCGCTTGTGTATGAATGCATATGCTATCCATCGTTTTTGGCTGTATCACCCGGACATTGAAAAGGCGAAACCTGGCCAAGCTGTACGTGGAAATGGCAAGGGCCGCAAGGCGAAGGACGAGGGAGCCGTAGCCATGGAGGAACGTGACCAAGACAGCTCCGAAGGTAACGTGCGCACGTGCACCCATACCGTTACCAAGCGTCTCGCGCAACAGCGTTTCGTGTTCATGCTGAGGAGGGCGAGAAAGCGTCAAGTTATCTCCTAGATCGACGTCATGGAAGTATGCTATGCATACCGCCTAACTCTCTCTGCGCTGATGTATGTATCTGCACGCGGCAGAGTTTCTGACGCCGTTCTCTTATTGCTGCTATTGTGGTACAGAGGGGGGCCCGGTATAATGAAGGGGTGTGTCCAGAGAAATTTCCTGCAGCTTCGGCACTATTGATGTATCGAACAACCCTCAAAAGTGCAGGTGCTGCACTATTGAGGAGATGTTTAACTTCATGGTGTGGCGCTCGCGCTTTGCGGGGCTAACTGGGTACGAAATGGATCGAGTTGCAGTAGTGCTGGGCCCTGTCCTAGCATGGGCGTGGGGAGACTGTCTCGTGACGCGTGTGGGTCCCCCTTGTCACACACAAGAGATGTTGTAGAAGAATTACTTGCATGTTCCACCGTTATTTTCTTCCTGCCTCAGCACTCGTACTGTATACTGCACACCCTGAACTGCTGTCGCGCGAACCAACCCTTCTACATTAATACGTAGCCAACGAAGCTAAATCTCAGTCCTCGTTACCCTCCTTCGATGTTGCGAGATAAACAAGACAGAGAAATAAAAAAACAAGACAGGAAGCTCACTGCAAGAAACAAACAACCACTACCTACTTTTTTGCTACAGCTGACCCCCCGCCTGTACTACGCGAAAAAGTACCTCATGTCTGCCTGGCGCACCCGCTTAGCGGAATGCGCTATTATCATCGCCAGATCACCGTCCTCGAAAGGCGCCTCTGCGTAGAGCTCTTAGGGTCTGTAGCAGCACGTGTACCCTCGTTTCTGTGTTGCTTTCGTCGCTGTCCGTGTGTGTGTGTGTCTTTATTGCTAGCATCGGCCGCGCTAACCGGCTGACCAATGAAAAGACGTTAGTCTCAGTGCGGTTCAAAACACGAGACACTAAATGCCATTAACTGGAACCCCGTGAGGGGGCAGCATGGGGGAGACTAAGCTATTCTCCGAATGAAAGAGAGAAACGGTATAGCAACAGAAGAAAACTGCACTCCTCTACCAAGAAGGCTGCTACATTGCACTCTAGTTTGTTTTAGAGTACTTTCACCATCATCATCCTTACTTTCACCACCACCATCATTCTCATAATCATTGCTTTTCGGCAGTTGTTCTCTGGCCCTGCGTCGTTTGTTGTGGTGAAGGTCATCTGGCTCGAAGCTCTTGCTCTCTCTTCCACGCCATGATTCCCTCCTTGATTGTTGTGTTGGTCCTTGTGTGCATCCAACCTGCACTATTGCGGGGCACCGCGGAGCCCAACCATAGCGGGACCTCCCTCAATAGTGCAGGTCAATAGTGCAGGACCTGCACTATTGAGGGCGCTGTCTGTCTCCAAAGGTGTTACCTGCACTATTCAACGTGCACTAAACCGGGCTCCCCTCTGTTATTGCCGAAAGAGGCGGAGAGATGTCTCTCTACCTACACCGGCCTTTTCCAAGCTTGATTGCTCCCAAGTGGATGCGGAAAGAGCCCGATACGTCTACGGAAAGCCCTCGACGACATGTTTCCAAACCCACGATTGTGGTGTTAGCGCAAGCTTGGTTGAGGAGCAGTCGAGCTTTTGAAAATCGGTCTATGGTCGGGGTGCCATCTCTTCTTACCAGCTCTCCGTCTCTAATGGTATCGCTTGTTGTCGTTGCGGTTAGCCACCGCGAAGGACAAGATCGTAACGAAGTCGTTGACGTTTCGCACACGCAGAGCTCTCGAACGGCTCTTCGAGCGAGGAGGTTGATGACGAGGACGGAAGCGAAGATGGCGAAGAAGGAGACGACGATGGAAGCGACGACGACGACGACAACGATAATGATGATTCGGGAGAGGAATCCGAAGAGTTTGAAGACCAGGGGTCGGACTCGGATGACTCGGAGGAGATGGAGCGGCAGCAGGCAGAGGCGGAGGAGGTGAGACTAATGCAGTGTACCGACCGATGGCCGACGGGGTGTGCGAACTACACCTCCAAACAGTATCATCAAGTGCATCATCTGGTGGTTGGCGCCTCATCATCACTACTATTGCTGTCAAGACCCTCTTTGTGGGCATCACTCGCGATGACCCCACGAGGGCCATGTGTCGAGGTTATTCATATTCAGCCCATGACCGTCCAGAAAGCCCAGAGCATATCCGACTGCACCACGCTGTTGCATGGACGCGTCGGTGCCGCTGCATCGTGTGGAAGGTTTGGGCTCTTGTGCCCCTCATATCTCACTAGGGAGTTTCCAGTGGAATTGCGATGACCTCGTTGAGTCACGACTCCTGTATTCTATTGTACTCTCAAGGTTACCGACAAAGGCCTAAAGCTGATTCAATTCGTGTTGTTTCTTCCCCCCGCTAGGGCGCTGATCTGCTCCCTCTCTGGAATCTACTATAATATTAATATAATACCGTACCTCTAAATGCTTACGTAGTACCAATACCTGGTAGAGCAGTCTGTTATTCAGGGGCCGTTACACTCAACACTTATTGCGACGTACACCCTCCCCCTTATCGGAATCCCTTCATACGACCGTCTCTGTGGCATTTTTTTCTGAAGTTTTAATGCCGGCAACCTGATCCTAACAACACACAATCGGTTCTTGTTCGTGTCCGGAAACTCGACCGCAATGATTCTCTTCTGGAACCATCGTATCGAAGGATTCGGATGACGACGAGGGCAAGGGCGGCGGCAGCGGCAAGGTGAAGCTTGACGAGTCGACTCGACAGACGTGGTCCATGGGCTCTAGAGACGCCGAGATCAAAGCGCAAAAGTGAGCAGGCTGGGTGGCGAAGGAGCGGACGTCTCGCGCACACTGCTGTATTTCTCACAGCCGTAGTTTTTTGCAGTGCCGTATAGCCCCCCTCCCTCCATAATGTCTCTTGATTGAGACTATAATAAGCCAGCACGGGGATGGTCGGGGGTGGGACACAAACGTCGGGCTGTAACCGTCTGGAAAACGGGCCTAGGCGGGGACAAGACGGGTGTGGTTGCTTAGTTTGGGCGCTTGGGGCGCGAAGCAATGATTGTTCTTGTGCGGTGGTTGGTGGGGTTGAGGTCAAGGTTACGACGGACGTACCTTGGTTTCTTTGCGAGAGTAGCCAAGAACTCCGAAACATGCGGTACTTGGCTCGAATCTCAGCGTGCAATGCCTTCAGACGAACGTGTAGGAGATCAATGTAGCACGCGCGTACGCGTACGCCGTATTTTCTCAGGACTCCGCCGCCATTCGCAAGCCCACGCTGGTTGCGATTTGTTAACTGTCTTTCTTTTCTCCCTTCTCTCCCTCTCTCTTCTATCTGTCTGTCTGTCCGTCTGTCTGTCCATCTGTCTTCTCTGTCTGTTTGTCTGTCTGTCTGTCTGTCTGTCTGTCTGTCTGTCTGTGCTTTTCTCTCCCTCCCTCCCTCCCTCCCTCTCGCCCTCTCTCTCCTCTCGCTCTCTCTCCTTTTCTCGCTTTGACCGGCGGGGCGAACAGAGGCGACGGCGCTCTGGCTGTGTCGATGGCGATGCACACGGACGATCTCTCTTCGGACGATGACGAGGAGAACCGGAACACGGTCGGCAGGGGTGAGTCACAAGTCGCGGAGGAGATACACATCGTGACAATCAAAAATTATTTTGAGTTTGCTTTCGTCCGGAGTAGGCTGTTCACGGCCTTGGTACACCCATCAAGTTGTACGGACGCAGCACCGCTTTTGCCACGATTCACCGGCAGTGTTCGACATCATCCCCTCACGCGAGTGCATTCCCTATAACAGTGTGTATCGTAGCTGCACCACAACTAATCTCAGATGCATATTTATAACACTTCGGAAGAGGCTCTCTGCAGGCAGCAGCAGCAGACTGGTCACCTCGGCCTACGGTATTCAGTTCACGCTGGCATCTGTGCGTTGGCAAAGCCCAACGTTTTCCATCAAACAAAAAAACAACGGTCAGATTCCAGATTCAAGAACGTAAACGAAGGGGCGTTAGCACCAGGTGTATGCCGACCACCTACGCTTTTACGCAAAAAAGGCCATCCTTCCTTTGGCTGGTGAAGGCTGCCTCTACCCTGGCAACCCACCATGCGCGCATGGGGCCGCGTGTAATGTTGCGGCGGCGAGCAACTTGTCCTATTCTGTTCTCTTTTTGCGTGCGGCGAGAGTTGTATCCGTAACGCGTGGAATATACGAATCAACGTCGGTTTGTCACGTCAACAGCAACAACTCAGCTCAAAGCAGAGGAACACATGCGTGTAGCGGTAGGCCCGGCAGGGATATAACCTACGATACTGGTGATGGTGACACAAGTTGATTGCTCTATCACACGTGCTGTGCCTACCGTTTTGTGGCGCTGCTTGCTGTAATCAGCAAGACAACGTCAGAAAACATTGCCCGGGCAGAGCCTGAGGTCTGTCCCTCCCGCACCGTACGTGTCGAACGAAGCACAGACTGTGCGGCGGACGGTGTGATGGGGATTCGTCATGAACCTTTTCTTTTGTTGTTGTATTTGCTGTAGTATCTCGTGCTGGGGCAGTTTGACGCCAGGCAATACTCTGTGTCGTTGCCTCTTACAATTGACCAGGGAAGAAGAGGAGGTACTGGATGCTGTAGAGGTAGGCCAGAATGATTTTTAACACCAAGAAAACAACAACACACAGCAGTACGGCTACACATTCTTTTGGTGTGTCAACCACCCTCAAGGTTTTTCCCTAATCAACGCCTTCAATCCCCTCTTCGGTCATCCTTATGCTCTTGCCCCTTTTCCGCGTGTTGGCGCGCAACCCACATTAATGCTGTATGTAGTTCCCCTGCATTGGTACGACGAGTACGACCACATCGGCTACGACCGGAGCGGGGGCAAGGTGATGAAGCGGGCCGACGGTACCGGGAACGGAATAGATGCCGCCCTGAGCGCAAGGGACGACCCCAACTACGCCAGGACCGTGTACGACGCCTACAACGACCGCGAGGTAACCTTTTTTGTTGATGGGGTCAGTTTGCAAGAGATCTTTCTCCGGTTGTAAGCAGGAGCATCGGTCGCCTCGAGAGCCCGTTGTTCAGCCAACTGAGGAGGTACCCCGGTTCGCGAAATGTCCCAGAGATTTCCATTTTTTTTTTTTGCACTTCGTTTCTCCCGTACCCGAAGCCGTGCATCGCATCCGCCGGCGGCGGTGCATGAAGGTGGCTTGTTTTTTACCTGGTGTTCATCCGAAACATGGCGTGAAGAGGCGTGAATGAAGATTTTGTTATGTGCTAGCACCCCCCGCAGTAATTGTTTTGTTTGGTTTTCAAGATTGGTGAAAAATTTCCCCCCCGGGACTTTGTTTTTCAACGTCAGGAATTCAATGTTAAGCTCTGCCCGATACGAAAAAGTAACTGTTTTTTTGTCTCGGACCAACCAGTCAGAGCTCGATTTTGGTGTCTGCATATTTTTTGTCGATTTTTTCGTTAATACCGGCGTTGCGTTTCTTTTGTTGCAAAGTTAACGGAATCATCCCTCCCGTCCCCGATCCCCTTGTCCCCAACAACAAACCGAAAAACCCTGACCAGGTGACCCTGACAGACCGAGAGCTGGAGGTGATCCGCCGCATCCAGGCCGGCGCCTTCCCGCACCCAGAGTTCCAGGCGTACCCAGACTACGTGGACTACTTCACACACGAGAAGCAGGTCATGCCACTGGAGGGAGGAGATGAGCCCAAGCGTCGCTTCATCCCCAGCAAGGTAAGTTGGGGGGGCGTAAGGCATATCGTGTACAACATGACGCAAGATAACATACACCCTTGGATCAATTTTCAAAGCTCGATCTGTCAACAGCAGAACGAGTCGCAGCGCCGAAAATGGCGGCGCTAAAGCCGTCTGGTCGAACACTCTCCGAAAACCTATCGTTTCGTTTTTGATGTTCTTCGTCGCGAAGTAATCGAGCTTTCAAAATTGGTTCAGGGGGTTTGTTATATTGTGTCATATACGGTATCGTAATAGTTGTACCTGTCCACCCCTACGAGATCAGGAAGATGGTGGAAAGGGTTTCAGAAACAAGCCTTGCGCAGACTCCTTGTTTTCTGGGTGGATGAGGAGGAGACTGATTGATGCGCCTGCGGTCGAAAGGGCGTTGGAGTGAATTGTACACTCCCCGTATACTGCATGCGCTACTGCTTGAGAATCTGGGAACCAAGAAATGGAGACAGCGTGAAGAGCTTGACCAAACCTGCACGAAACCTGCGATACATATATTCTCGATGTTAAGGTACCCCACAATCGACCAAGCCCTTGTACGTATGCGATGGCGGCATACACCCACGCTGCGTCTAATTGTTAAACCGAGCGCGTGGGGGAAGGGCGGATGGCGTAGAATGCGCCCCTGAATAAATAGACTCGAGATATATCTGGATCACTAGTGATTTAACACTTGACGTCGAGGGGCACGGAAAGGTCAGACCGGGACATCATGCTCCCAGGCGTTGTATTGTATCCCACGCCGGTTGATCATTGATCATTGCAGTTGATTCGAGACTTGTTTCGGAGATGAAACCGTTGCTCTTTCGCTACCTTCTCCCGTGGTTGGTTCTCTTCACCCGTTTACTGTACATGCACATCAGCACATAAATATCTGTGTTGATCTTACGGTTGATATTGTGGACGTGCGCTGCGTGTGTAACATCTAATACAATAGTGGGAGATGATGAAGGTACACCAGCTGATGAAGGGTATTCGGGAGGGGCGCATCGTCGTTAACCCCAAGAAGAAGGTGGAGGAAGACAGCTACGCCATTTGGAAGGACGATGACGACATCCCAGAAAAGTGAGCTATTACCATCTTGTCCTAAAAAGGCAGCTTTAGCAGGGTGGGTAGCAATATCTGCAGCTTTTCGAAGCAGTGCCGTAGCTGTAGTGCACCGAAACGGCTTCCGGAGTGGCCTCGAAATCATCGGCCTGTCAAGGTTGTTTTCTCCAAGCGAGGACGACAAAAAAAACTACAATAAAAACAAAAACAGCGACATCATTCACTGGCATCGATCAGCCCCGCGTCCTCCATTCACACCGATACCATATAGGATGTCAACCGTCCTTTCCTCTCGTGCCGGATTTTTTACATGTTCAATTTTTTGTCGTTGTTCTCACATCACGGCGCGATGCGACAGGCACCGAGGACCGATGCACATCCCTGCGCCTAAGATCCCCCTGCCTGGACACGCGGAGAGCTACAGGCCGCCGAAGGAGTACTTGCTGACGGAGGAGGAGCAGAAGCAGTGGGAGGTGAGGAGCCATATAGTACCCGTTTGGCGACTGTAAGGAGTGACGAAGGACAACAAGCGCGTTGGTTCGATGGATTGGACCGACATTTGTTCTTCGGTTACTGTAGCTTCAGGAGTGACGACGATGACCAGTGCGAACATGTTCTTTTTGCGAGTGTTGCTATGGTTTCACTCTTGTAGTTTATGAAACTCATCGTCCTCTTGCCCGCCCGCCCCCTCCCCCCTCCCCCCTCCCCTGTATCGCACGTTATTGCGTGATGGGACTCCCTTACTACCGTACCCGGGACGCAGGAGATGGATCCATCGGAGAGGCCAACCAACTTCATCCCCAAGAGCTTCGATTCCCTTCGAGAGGTATGGTTTCATCCACACGCCTACAGTAGGGTGGTGGGGGGTGGGGAAGACCCTTCAGATAGGGAGGGGGAGGGACAGCCAGAGATGAGATAGGTACAGAAAGCGAAAGAGAGACAGCACAGAGAGAATTAGAGATAAGAGACAAAAGAGAGCGGGGGTGGGCCTTGCTGATCTTGGTGTTCCCTACGACCCAGGTTGCTAGATATTCTGGAATAAACCATCCGACGACGCTGTTGTGGCTGCTCAGTTTTACGTGGGTGAGTATCCGTCTCAGTCGTTCGCGCTTCGCGCTTACCTTCATGCTTCACGCACGAACACACCACCCTGTCCACGGACAGACTACCATATATGACACAAGATAACACACCCCCTGAACCCATTTTTCTAAGCTCGATTACTCCACGACGAAGGGGATGCATAAACGACACAGAACATGTTCGGAGAGCTCTCGACCAGAAGGCCTTAACGCCGCCGTTTTCGGTACCCCCACTCTTTCTGCTGTTGATATTTACATATTTTTTTAAATCGGGCCAGGGTGCGTGTTATCTTGTGTCGTATACGGTAACGACGCCTTTCCTCGTCCTCATCCAATCACCACCTTCCACGACAATCGCTTTGGAAACCCTCATCTCGCTCCCTTTTCTCTCTTGTAACAACATCCAAAACAAGTCTATCTCTATTCACAGATATAAAAAATAGTTCCGGATAGACAACCAATTTGATTGAAATATGGTACAAGCACACGTGTTGCGTTACCTTAAACAGGTCGGTGATTGCGTTGAAAATATGTTACTATGCTGTCTTAAACAGGTCGGTGCTTACGGGGGGTTCGTCAAGGAACGCTTCGAGCGATGCCTGGACCTCTACCTCTGCCCGCGGGCCTTCAAGCGACGTCTCAACATCGACCCGGAGTCACTGGTTCCTCGCCTGCCGCGACCGAGAGAGCTCAAACCCTTCCCGAACGCCCTGTGCGTAGAGTACAAGGGGCATGCGGCGAGCGTCCGGTGCATCGCGTGCAGCGGGGACGGGCAGTGGATGGCGACTGGGGACGATAGCGGGGTGCTTATTGTGTGGGAGGTACGAAGAGTTTCCAGGTATATTTGCATGGAAGGGGGGAGGAGCAGCGGGTGGGCACAGGAGACGGCAATCTCCATATCTTTGTTGGTATAGTGTGGGAGGTACGACTGTTGTTTCGGATTTATTTGGTTTACAAGTGTCGGAGGTACGAACTTTTTCCGGGTATATTTATTTGGCATACAAGGGAGGAGGAGCAGTGGATGGCCACGGGAGACAACAATGGGGTGCTTTGTATAGCGCGGGAGGCACGAAGTTTTTTTTTTTTTAGAAGGGGGTACTCATACTCATAGTCGTGCATGCCGTAGTCGTTGGACCATTGACCTCGCATCCCTATAAAGCCGGGACGGAGCACGCCGGGTTCTCACCGGACCAGGCTCTCACATCACCAAGCGCGAAGCGCCGTGAGATATTCGGCGAGTCGCATGAAGGGTGCGCTGCATCCTGCTAAGGGTGTTCGGCATCTTGTGCTTACTTCCTTGCGTACGGATGACAGCTGCGTATGACTTAATTTATTTTCTGGTGCTTTCACTTCCAGAGACAGTTGTAAGCACTGTGTAACTGCCTCGAGGGTGCTTGACCATTTTAACACAACGTGGTGCGATCATCCCCCTTGCGCGGAGTGAGGGTTCTCGACCCCGCACAACATGATCTCCTCGACCACCACTATGGTTACCGCCAAAAAAAAACGGAGGTAAAAAAACAAACAAACGGTAACCTGGTTGCCGAGTTCACGAAGTGAATTGGCTTGTTTTACAACGTCGTTGCCAAGCGACGAAAACCCAACCCCGATGGCAAACACCGAGGGGCGAGGAGGGGGGGGCGTATTTGTCTTGATAGCGGGGCCGTGAATGATCACCTATGACGCACACCTGTATGTGTGAATCTAGAAGGGGAGGTGATTGCATTAGTGTGGGCCTTGCCGACCAGGTTGGTGCTGTCCCCCTGTACCATGGGCAGAAGTCGCCTTTGGTTGCAGAGGAGGAGGGTATATGTAGAAGGTTGTTCGCCGATGGCTTTCGGGGGGGTCGACTGCGTAGATGATGTTCGGGTGATACTCTTGGGCGGGGGGGGCAATGTATGGAATGGTGGCCGTAGACGTTTAATGAGTCGCCTAATTTCGGAGACACGTTATTTCCAAGCGTCCTGTTCATTCCTAAGGTATTGTGCAATGTCTCGGAGAATGTTCGAAGCCGCTGGCCGAAGCCCACGCCGCTCTTTCGAAGACGCCGAGGTGCGTTCGTTACGATGGTCGTTTTTCTCCAGTTTCAATGGATTCAGCTTCTGATGTCCCTTTTTCATCTAACGAACGTTCCCCGCACCTTCTTCTATCCAACGCGTGTTACGGTTCAGGTGGACACGGCGCGGGCGGCGCAACGGTTCGATTTGTCCGGGTACGGTGGCATCGGTGCCATGGAGGTGAGGAAGAAGGGACGAGGGAAGAGGTGGCTTGGTGTCATAGTGGGGTTCGGACCATGATCGTGTTGGTTGTAGGGAAGCTAGAATCATATTGTAGCGACATGCCGTGATGGCATGGGTATCGGGGCGTTGACTGCAACCGCCCTCCGTGGGACAGTTGCATCGGCATTGGCATGGCGCGGCGAAGGTATTTTTTTGCTTGTTTACCAGTACCTGTGCGTTGTTACATCCCCTCTCGTTTCGTCCTTTTGCTTTTGGTAAGATAGCGGTAAAGCTTCCAAGGCGTGCTCTGATATGGATCAACCACGCGACATGCGCTGACCCCCCCCCCCCCCCCCCCC